AGTTTCTTGTAAATATCAAACTTAATAGTCAGCTGTCTTAATCTAGTCACACTAGTACCACTATATTTCTCTCTCAAATATGTCCAGATGTCATGAGCAGTCGGGAACAGCTCACACTCATGAATGAGATCATCCACCACGAAACTTACCAAAATTGCATGAGCAGTGGAATCTTTCTTTTTCCATGTCCGATAAGTTTCCCGATCCCTTCTCTGTTGAGTAGTTTGACCTACCCTAGGTCTTTCATCACGTGGTTAATGCCCTCAAGGCAATCTTGTTCCTCCATCACATACCAAAATTTATGGCGCCAAGTGTTATAATTATCGCCATTCAATTTCTCACTCTTATTAAGGTCAGTTATGATATTCTTAGATGCCACTGTCTATTAAAAATTTTATAGACAATCATATAAATATCCATTTAAGCAAAATCATAGGTTCTAGGTCAGAATTACTCAAACTCCTTGAACCTTAGAACTCCCACTAAATTAAACTACTAATCATGTACAAAAAATAGGCAAAACGTTTTGACTATATGTGATAAATATGAAACATACATATAAATCTAAAAAAAATGTTAAATATGTACATGTGATCATATTAAGCATCTACTAAACATGAAAAAACAAAAAATTTCACATAGATATGTTCGACAATCTGAACTATCCATACATATCTAAATTATTATAAAATTTTCATTTTTTAAATTCCACTTCCTCATCAAGATCTTGATCAAATAACTGTAGTGCAGATGTAACAAATTATCCAAAACTTCCAATAGCAACATCATGCCAATGTTTAGGAAGCGTCCTCAATAGATGATACATACTTTCCACCTCACATATAGGCGGTCCCAAATGTATCATCTTTCGATGCATTGTTTCGAGATATTTTATGTGTTGTACCAGGTTATGTCGTGGATCCATTTGATAATTTCTATACGTACGTAATTTTTCAACACGTTCCATAGCCCGTGCTCTTCTAGCTTTTCCTCTAAGGATGCTAAAAGTGCACATTAATCCAGCCATATCTGATCAAGCACAATAATTGAAAACTAGTCACAATGGATCACATAACCTAATCGAGACCCACACAACTCATGAACATATATAAAATATGGTATTTTAAGTACTTTCGGATTATTTTTTTCATTTAAAAAAAAAATGAATAACTTCCACTAGGCAAATACTAAATGTTCGCATTGATCCAGCCATATCTGATCAAGCATAAGAAGTGGAAACTAGTCACAATGGATCACATAACCTAATTAAGATTCACACCACTTATGAACGTATAGAAAATGTGGTATATTAAATACTTTCGGAGTATTTACCATTTGAAAAATGAGAGTACCAAAAAAATTTAGCTTCTACTAGGCAAACACCACTTAATAAATATTCTTGATTTTTATTAAAGAAAAATTCAAAATTGAATTTGGAATCACTCATCTCTATGGCAACAATTTATGTTTCTGAGAAAAAAAATTACTTACGGGTACTGTTCATCATCTCCAAAAAAAAAAAAAAGTTTTTCTTTCAGACTATTGCTGAAACTTCAATAGGCTATAACTACTTCAATTTAAGGTCAAAAGTTATGTTCTTTATACCATTGGAAAGCTCTTGAAAAGATCTATCCGACCATATCAAATGAGCAACGTGGAACTTAACGTGAAAGAAGTTATCATGCGATGAAGTTTCAATTTTCTCAACTAGGGTTCCATTTTTGTCCCAAAATACAAATCCAAATGTCCTGAAAATTTTCACATATGTTCTCCTTAATATCATGAACATACAGTACAAATTTCATGAATTATAGAAAATATATCAAAAGTTGCCATTAACGATATTCAAGCTTTTGAAGAAAACAAGATACATGTGTTTTAATCATTTATACCAATTTTCAGCATGAACTTAAGCAAGAAAACAACATTCTAAGGCTCTGATACCAATGTAAAACATACTTGTGCTTCTAACGAAAATTCAAATTGGAAAACTTACTTGAAACCATCAAAACGAGATTGAATCACTTGCATTTTGTTTGCTTGTTTCATACACTGCTCTGTACTCACTCCTTGGTCAAAAATTCGATCACAAAGGGAGGAATTTGATAGCTACAATTCAAGAACCAATTTAGAGATGATATACTTAAAAAACAAGCCACCACCCACATGTATTTTTCTCTCTTGATTTTCTTACGAATGTGTATGCATATATTTTTCTTTTATGAGAGCTGTGTGTTGTGACGAATTGAGTTTCAAATTCAATTTTTCTCAACTTCTCCCTCCACTAGCACTCTCATATAATTTGAATCGGGTTGGGTCAGCCCACATGGGCGACCCATTTTCTTCCAACACTTCGATTAAAAAATAACATTTATCTTGACTAAATGAAAACCACCAGCCTCAGCTATGATAGTCCAACAACTATAAATACAAAACTTCTCAACCATATCCAAGCAACTAAACTCTAAGCCATAGATATCAACTAAACTCTAAGAGGATCAGGTTTTAACCATCTCATCTGAAAACCAATTGGAATCAAATGAAGACGGAATAATTACCCTTTTATGGCATTAGAATCACTATCATTTGAGTGACCAAACCCATGGGCTTAAGAGCAGTCTTGTTGCTTTGGACAAACTCTATTGTTTATTTTCGAAGTTCTTACTGACTCAATCATGGGCACGGTGATTGCTCCTTCACCATTAGCAGGTACATTTTGCAGTCTATTCTACTAAATTTTGGCGACAACTAATGATCACCTATCTGGGCAAAGAGTGAATAATTTTAAAAGTCCTAATCACTACAAAAATGCTAGAAATCGACTTTGAAAATTTCTCTTGAGTTTGGTATTTGTGTTGTCCAAAGACATTGCTCTCTAGTGTTTCCTGTCATCTGAAGTCGACTAGATTTCTAGATTCTTGCAAGAGATAAAGTTACAGTCATGTTTTCTAGAATTTTCTGTTATATCTATAAATGTTTGTAGTGATAAACTTGTCCCTTTTTCCGTCCATAACAAGTTCTCTGTTTTATAACAGAGAAGCATAATTCTCCAGCATTAGAACTGGTGCATCAAAACATAACAATCAGTTTGATCGACAGTTCTATACCAAAAAAAAAATCATATTAAAAAACTAACCTTGTTCTGAAAATCAACGAGTAGAAGTGATAAAATCAAGGAAGGAGTCTGAGTTTGGAGCTGAAATTATGGACGAAATAACAGAGAATGCAGGAAGATGATAAACAGAGAAGCTGAAGTTATGGAACTAAAAATAACAGAGGACATATACCGGATAGAGCCTGCTGAATTACAGCAGGGAAGAAGATGAATTAACATTCAACTTGCTTAAGGAAANGAGGAAATTACAAGGCATTCTATTCTATTTATAGAGGAAATAGGTAACAAATTATCTGACTAACTAACAAGATAACAAACTTAAGTGGTGGCTGAACTAAAGGTTTGCTGGTGAATTGGTGTGAACTGGAGGCTGAACTGCAGGAGCTGGTTTTGCTGGTGAAGCTGCCGGTCTTGCTGTTATTGGTGAGTGAAGTTTAATATTCCAACAAGAAGCAGCCTTGTAAGCATTAGCGACAATTTCTTTAAAAGTCGGCTTCAAGCTAAGACGGAAGACCTATGAGCATGCATACATTATCGAGTGCGTGCACATAATGGGTTCTCCTCTTGTTGGTGCATGGATACGCAGTACGCTGGCCTCTTGCCGAGCCTACTATCTGGATAGTTTTCACCATTTCGACTATTTTTCAAGAGTTTTTTTTCCTCCTTTTTGCTATAATATAGTCTACATTATAATTTATAAGTTATAATCTAACTTTGCATAATTTTCACCATCATCTTATCGAAGATGAATCAAACCAACCAATTAACACCAAATTTTGAAAATGTTCCAACAATTATTAACATAATTAATATCTTCATGGCCATTATATGCCTTACTGCCTTAGTTTATGGTAAGGTTAGCCTTGGTGATTTTCGTGGCCGTCGTGAATAGTATGAGCATTGAAAAATTATACATTCATATAATATTGATTTGAATAAATTAGAAAAAATCTATTTTGTATTAATTTTTTAATTAAAAAAAAAACATAAAGTGGATGGTAACTCTTAAACAAATGCAAACATAATTAAAATTGCATTATTAGTTTCTAAACTACTTAGCATATTATAAATGACACCTAATTAAAATAAGAATAGAAAGATAATAAATGTATAAAATAATGACACGCGTAGGGGTGTCAAATGGGAGCTACTCTTTCATTCCGCACTCTATGTGAGATGTGAGCTGACTCATCATTAACGAGTGAAAATATAATGGATTAATCTATATGTACAGAGGGTCGGTTCACAGAAAGCTTACCGACCCTCACATGAGGTGGATCTCGATGCGGGACCCACGTGATTAAAAATTGGTTCAAAATTTTCCCGCCCCTCCCTATGTATGTAATCTGTGGGGCTTTTGTGAAGCCCTATTCTGTAATGGTAGCATGACTCAAATATAATTGTAAGTGAAAAAAACTAAGGAGTCGCAAGCGGCTTGACTTGCTCAATAGGCGGGCGCTAGCCAGCTCGCATGATGGGTTGAGCCCAATGGTTTGACTCGGCTCGACCCATTTTAACACTGCTAGCCACGCGTGCCCTTCATGCCCTAGTCTGTATCCATATTCATCGTTCTTCTAGTGTCGAAGACTTTTCGTACTAAAGTATGCGACATAAATTTTCTAAATATTTAATATTTTAAATACTTTACTTGATAGATCCGTGCCATCTGGAAAACTTTCATCGACCTCAACGTAAATAATGCTAAGTGTCATAATCTTTATGTGAACCTAATCTACCCCATTGTTCATGATAGATTTGCACTAATGGGGTCTTGTAATCTCCATCTCAATGTTTGAACAGCCCAAAGCTCTCACTGTCCACGTCTATCCACAGCTCCACCAGCTGCATTCTTCTCATGCCAATGTCAGAAAACCAGTTCTCTCGATCATCGCCCAAATGTTGTGCCACTCGTAGCCTTCGGGGTATTGTTTAGCCATCGCACCTCAGGCATAGGCCATAGTCCTTCACGGCCGCCATAAGACTCCTCTGAAAGCACCAAACATCTCTTGTTATCAGGTGTAGTCATCTGCTACATCAATTGATTGTTAGCTTCACCGTGCCATCTCTTTTGTGGCATTACGTATCTTCCATCAAAACTACACAAGCTGTAGCTGCCTCGATAGCATGTGTACGAGCTTAAATTACCCTCTTAACATTTGAGAAAGAGGTTTCTTGTATTTGAGCAATGACCTTGTTGGTGTATGCCGGGTTCAAAGAGTCGAACCATTTAGAAAATTTTCATGCATTTTCCACTCGATAGGAAATATTATTTGTACCCTTCTCCTTTGCAACAAAATGAATCTAAAACACGTCAACAACCCTCCATAAAAGGACATATAAGAATATCAATTATAAGAGCAAAATAATGTACATCAAATGCTGTGTTTATTCATCCATCGTCTTAAAATACGAAATCAAATTCCAACCAGAACAAACAAATTAAAGAGGTTTAACAGTGTTGGTACATGGTTTTGTAACTAGTACGCTACAAGTGAAGTTACATTACAATAAATTTATTAAGGGTTAATTCACATACACATCATTTGATAGAGCAGTTGCTTCAATTAACCGGAAAGGGGATTATGAATCTGCCCAATAAATAGTACCACCCCCGTCATATCTTCTCTAACGACAAACAGGAACGGATGGTCAGCCACAAAATCCAACTTGTCCTCCATTGCCATACTCCTCAGGTTTATAACACCAGCAGTTGCAGCTGCAGCTTCCGTGCCTTCCTCGTTTACCTCAATAAATGATTTTTGGAAAATGCTCGAAACATAAAGGTTCTTGCCAAGAGGAGAGTCCACCATCTCAGCGAGTCCATCGCCAGAAAAAGGCAACATAACCCCTAGTCCCTTGAGGACTTCAGAAGCTTCGAACCCAAAAGATATTTTGAATTTTGGAATATGGAAGGCACCCACTTTCACTTGTTGATACGGGACGTGATGCTCTAAGAAACCAGATTCAGAGCCAAATTTTTCTACTAAAGCTGGCAGTCCGTCTTTGGCATCTGGAAGAAAGAAATACATAGAGAATTTACGCCTGTCTTCCCCTTGTTTGTATGGAAGCCCCAAAACTCTAAAACCATCAAAGGCACGTATATATTGCTTCTGTTTGCTGGTCATGAAAGGTACTTGCACTGAGCTACCATTTAGGAGGAAAAATTCATCCTCTTTTGTCTTTGATGCGTCAAACTTCTCATTCCAGGCACCTTTGAAGTACACTGCATTTGCAAAGATGAGCCTTGTTGAACCATCAACAGAGCCAGATGGAAGAATTTCTTTGATAAGGCCACTTGTTTCCTTTTCAGCCCACAGATTCACCTCTTTGGTTGCCTCAACAGCCTTTAGCACCATCAAGAGTAAAAAACAAAATAATCAGAATATTTAATCTTCAGTTTATTTGGAATAATAAGAACTAGTAGATTACCAGATTTTAGCATACCCTCATGTACTTACTTCATAGTTGCCGTAGCCATTTCCACAAAGCCAGGAAAGCTTTTGAATGATGTTGATAGTGCATTAAGATTGCGAAACAAGTTGTTTCATATAAGTAAAGATGATCTATAGTCCATTAGTAGTTATATCATTCTCAAAGGTCGATCTTGGTACATCAATGTTAAACTTCATTTATTAATTTATTGCAATGATACAGACATTTCATCCTATGTTTCCTGAGCTATAAAATGTTTTGGAACACAATTCAGGGGGATGAATCAAGTCGTACATATAACAACCTTCCCCTCCCAATCCCAAGTCCCCTCCTAAAAGACTCAGAAAAGAAGAGTAATAAGAAAAAGGAGGACAAGAATATAAAAGAGTAACACAAAGATCAGCAAAAATATGGAGTCCCCAGTACAGTCAGAAACAAGGACTTCTAGCTCATCAATACAAATCTAGTGCTGAACCAATACGAAGAAATATGAACGATCCGAAGGTAGTTCTATTTCATCAGTTAACAAAAATCTAATCCTTTATAGGCCACAACACAAGGGATAAGACATATGGCATCACTTTCTGTAAAAGGAGCTAATACCATTGCAAAGGTCCCCGGTTGTTGTCTAGCTCCTAAAATACCTTAGCTCATTCATTCTTGACTCCCCTGCTGACTTAAGCATCAATAGATCCAGGCTCCCTCACAGCCCCCCCTAGCAATTTCTGTATGACGAAGTCTGACTCCCATCTTCTGGAGTTGGAGATCCATGGAAAGTCAGCTCAACCAAAAATCTAGCATCGTCATACTAGAAATTGTGGACCAGAATGTTATTATGCGATCACTATATTGCTTGTTGGCAATAGTTTTTTTCTCCTTCCAGCATGATTCTTTTACTGGCTAATTTTCATTCGTAAGTTATATATTAAAATGCATTCCTTGCAAACGGGTATGAGAAGACCATGATATACGTCTTTGAGACGTGTTTGTCGGTAATTATTTCCCATAGCATAGGATGCCAAAAGTTAGATTTAAACCAAAGCTAGATAGATGGCACTAGCTGCTTGATAGGATCTTCCAAGTGCAGGATGGAACATCTAACTAATGACCTACATAACCCAGAACGAAGCATGATACAGTGGATGACAGAGCCATGAGTCTGGAATGATCTGACAATAAGCCTCAAATCTTATTGTGAGGGCCCTTTTGGGCCATCATGACAAGAATACTAAAGACAGAGTCCTATCTAATTATACGAGTACTCACCCCTACCATGATTAAGGATACGTTCGACCTCCTACGATTGGATAATATTTATCTCAAGTCACAACTGAGAAATAACATTGATCTCAACTAAAGCATAACCATCCGCATATTCACAACTAGGTTAAGACAGTCCACATTACAATCAACCACGAAGGTACCCAACAACTACGAATGCAACACCAATAGATCTCAGTAAATTACATTGTAAATTTTCAAATTCCTTATTTAGTTAAGCGTAGAGTGCAGCTTGCAAGACATTCTATTTTCTACGTTGACACTTTAAGGCACTTAACATTAGTTAATAAAAGAAAAAGTACTAATCCCTACGAAAGAGCGTACGAAATTATGACGGATGATCATGTTTTCAAATAGAACTAATACCACAACTAAGTTTGTTCCCTAATTATCTATTAGCAATTACTTTTATTAAATCAATGAACATTGCATTTTTCGTCAAACACAAATTCTGCTTGATCATAATTAAAAACTGACCTTGGTCTGAAAATCAACATTTCTAGCAGCAGCCTTGTAAGCATTATCGACAATTTCTTTAAAAGTGGGCTTCAGGTTTAGACTCTGGTCAATCCAAACGCCGTTGGCGAAGGACAGTCGTGGCCCACCAAGCGAACCACCGTCGGCCAAGACGAGGGTGACGACCTGGGATGAGAGAGAATTAAGCTCTTCGGTTCCAGTGGACTTGAGAAAACTGAGTAGCTGGTCTAGCGTGGGGCCTTTAGACCCGGCAGCGATCAAGCCAAGCACAACATGAGTCGACACCGGCGAGAACACCAGGTTGGCGTCCTTGGCCTTAGTAGAAACCAAGTGCTTTGCAAGAAATAAAGAAACGTCAGTCTGGTTACTAATTGATTCGCGAATGTCCATTGTTGATCCGTGCGTTTCTGAAGGTATACTATTGTGTGATTCTGAGTTTCTCGAGCGAGGGCTTGGAGGGGTTCGTGGAAACACAGAATGGAGCAGTTGTTTGATACCAGTGTGGGCTCGCCTTAATACTCTTTGTACAGAGTGCATAATGTTAAAGCACTTCCTATTTTTTCTTTTTGGAAATTTTTGTGTTTCTTAGTTGTGACATTGGACAGTTGAAAATGCAGTGTATTTATGGGGTCTGGTCGAATTTTCGAGGGTAAGTTGTGTGGGTTCTGCTACTTTGCTTTGTGAGGAGGGTTGCTATTAACTGAAAGGTGGATTTGTGCTATTAAAGGATAGTTTGTGGGGCATGCATTTTGGGAGAATAAAGGGTTTTTTTAAGTTAAAAAATGGGAGCTAAAGTTGGTGATTCTTGAGAAAAAAAATTATTTGAAAATGCTTCACTCAAAGAATATGTTCACACAAAATAAAATTTTGAATCTTACCATGCAATGCATCGAGAAGTATCTAATAATTAATAATGTAGAGTAACAAAAATGTATTTGTTTTTGGTTGTGAGTGATATTTTATTACGAACTCAACAGCGTTAATGTATTTTTTGTTAAAATAATTTCGCTAACCGCGATAACTTGTACATACTCGTAAGTTGCAACCAATTTGTGTAGAAAAATTAGTCTTGAGACGTGTCGCATATTAGTCGGTAGTATATGATCACCAATTATGACAAACTTGTTCCCATGGTGAACGTATGGCGAAATTTTGATAATTTAAATATGTCCCTCTTAGGTATGATTAAAATTTGATTTTAATTTTAAGTCAAATTCAACAATTAATTATAACAATGTATTCCATGAAACCCACAACTTTTCAACCATATATTTCATCAATTTTAATAAAATCTACTAAAAACATAATTTTAGTTTACACCAAACGAGAGCTGAAACTATAGAGTACGTTCAAACTTTGCAACAAACATAATATGCATGAAACTGCCGCGTATATTTATCCATTGTCTCCAAATACAAAATCCATTGTACGAATTTACCTTTTCTTGAGCCCAACTACGTTATTTAATGTGAACTACAAAATGAACCAATATTGATAGTAAAATTATTTGCAGTATAACAAAATTTCTGCTGCTTCTTCTAACCAGTTTAACATTAACAAATAAAAAGCAGAAAGACATTTGTCGAGTGCAAAACATGAACAGAATTTTAATAGGAATGAAAAATTAAGTCTTCTCATGATAAATTTGACATAGGAAATGAATAGATTAATTTTATTCAATTATTGTGCAAAATAAACAGCACATTAATCATTTCTATTTCCAGCCGTATTCTTTGGTAGTACTTCCTTTCAAACCATGAAAATAGAAGCCATCACTCCTTGCCAACCAAAAGCAAGAACCACCGGAACACCTTTCAGCTCCAAAATGTGAAGTAAAAACATCAAAACTTTGCTTCTTTGAACCCCACCCAAAAGTGCAGAAAAATAGTGTACGTCCATACCACTGATCACAAAAATGCCAAAAAAATTCTTGGTTAGTAGCAAGAGTATGATGCCCAAGTTCATCATCTTTAGATGCACAATGCAACGTCAATTTGGATCCAGCTGGCAGTTGATTGACGACATGCACCTCATATCTATCAGACCAACAAAAGGAGATTACCGTGTCAGGAAGGCTGCTGGCAAATAGAATGAGAAATAAAAGGAGAATTTTCATCATGTTACAATTTTTAGGTTGCTGTAAAATGATTTTAGAAGGTTATTTATAATAGCAATTCTTGCACATCTTTCGTGGTCGAACATCAATGCAGCATCCACAAAATTAGCAATTATGAGACACCTATGGAAGTGCTGATTATTTGGTGCCAAATCCAGCCTTTTTCCTTCAATTTTTTGGTTACTGATTTAATGCTGATCTCGATTACTAAAATTAACATGTTTTTTATAATTTACTTTGTTTACACATCAAGTGACAAAACAATCTTAGTGAAGCCCACTACAATTTTAAAGAATAATGGAAATAATAAGTGGCATATAATAGATTAAACAGTGTAAAAAAAGGGTTTTCCAACCAATATTTTCTCGACAACAATGATAATTTCAAGCATGATGTAGAAAAATGGGTGTTTCATTTTGGCACAGTGATGAATTGCAGTCAACTTTATTTTTCAATTTTCTAATGATTCTTGTGATTTATTATATTGCTAATTATACTTTTCAATACGAGTTCAGCAAAAAAAAAAATGGCAAAAAAAAAAATAAAAAAATCTTAAGTGATCGTTTAAGATTTTTATGATATTTTCAACCTTGAAGCATAGATAATCATCTTTTTTTGATTACTCATATTATACATAATTCAACATATTTTTCCATGTAAATGAGATGCTCTACCAATTAAGTTATAGCTGAAATCGCTATAACAAAATTACAAGAAAAATCTCAACTATGAGTATTATGGAGAGTTTTGATCTTGGCTCATTTTATGAATGCCTAAATAATATGCAAATCATTTTCATTCCTTGAAACTCAGTGAACCATTTGGTGTTTGTTAAGGAGCTCAGAGACCAAATTACGTTTTGCACATCATAATTCAACGAGATTTAGGGTATTATATTCTATTAACATTGACGATTTGTAATGGCTATGGGGATTCTGATAGCATCTTTTTGTGTAACTGGTTATTCCTTAGCTCACACTCGAGTTGATTATTGGACGCTGAAAATTGTAACAATTTTACTTGAAGCTATTGTAGTAATAAAATCTCCTTTGATTTATTATATTGTAACATTAATTTCTTTATTTTATTGTTTTTGGATAGCAAAGGGTGATGGCATCTACCTTCATGGTTTGTGGGGAAGTGAGACCAAAAAATATGATTGGCAATAAGAAATATTAATGTATCATTCATTATATGCATTTATGATTCAGTAATAATTAATTTATCGGTCTAGTTTTTGTCTACTTTAATTACAAAATATAGATACTGCTCTACTTTTTTTTTTTATTTTTTTTTTTCAATCGAGGATAGAGCAACATTCTTGCCAACCAACTTATTGACCAAGCTATAGAACCTTGTAGGAGCGTTTGAGCAGAAATTGTCTTTAACAGCTCTCTTATAACAAGCTTCTCTAAATTGTACAAGGTGAATCTCATCTACCAGATGTTGGTGCAATGAATGACCAAAGTCAACCAGAAAACTTTCACAAACAGAAAGAACTATCTTTCCCTTTGCCAATAAGTCTCCATTAAAAGCCACGGCCCAGAAATCGTCACTCAATTACAATAAAGAACTTTTAGGATGTTTGATCTTTCCCTATGTAGCTTAGTACATTTCATATAAAAACTATGCAAATGAAAAATTGTGTATGACGATGCCACTGATCCAGATGCCTACACTTCTTGTTAAGGTTGGAATACTCTATACTAGATTTAATTAGCCAATTTTTCTTTTAATATTAATGCAAAGCAGTCCCAGCGGGATGAGAATTCTCAAACATATGCAATGTTTCTCAGCCATAGATCCTTGTTATTGGATTTATTGGTAACCTACATTGCAAGGTGGTCGTTTCGAATTCTCAGGGTCCAAACCACATTTACCTAAGACAAATTAAACTTCAATCAAGATAATGTTTACATAGCTGCTAGGTTAGAGGGAAGTTATATTAATCTGGTCTATTAGTTAGTGTCACGGATGTTTTGGAAATTTTCGTCGCTACATTACTAAAACAATTATTTACTACATAACATTAACAAAAATAAAAAAATGCTGGACGATATACATTTTATGTTTACATATACTTCCTTCCAAAAATAATACCATCCACCCATTCTATAGCTGATCCGTCCATCCAATTTTCACGTTTTATCATTAATACATTTCCTAAATCTTCTATTTATTAAAAGTGGCTATGTAACTGAATTTCTTGTTTTTAACCGAAAAACTAACGGAATTTGTTGTTTTAACGAACTATGTAACGGAATTTCTTGTTTTAAACAGGCAGTTGTACCTTCTTTCAGTATTTTTATCATAACTTCATATGCCGATGTCCGATTGAGGCGATTCAAAATGCGTTGGAAAGCTAACTCATCTGGTTACAACTTTGATTCAGACCTCATTCTCCAATTCGATCACTTTTTATACTAAAAATGGGTCTCAATATGAGACTAAAATATCGGAGCATAACTTTTCTGTTGGAAATTGATTTGTGATCATCTTTTGACTAAATTTGATCCCCTTGACATCTTCCTTTATCCAATTGACTCCGAGCACTCTCAAATCTTCATCGTGAGATTCGGCACAACTTTTAAGTATTCACATTTTA